CGTGCTGTGTGAAATAACGAGATGGCTTTAGCCAAAACTACGACTAAGAGAAACTGAACGAGAAGCCAGCTTTTTTTCTGCTTCTTTTGAATCTAAAAAAACCGCTGCGTGAACATGGAGCTGCCACCGAAGTGCTTCAGGTTCACAACGAAAGTGGACATCTACATGTTGTGTAAGGTCCGTGAGCAAGACCCTATCGCAACGCGCATGTATGGCTTTTTGTCGCGGAAAACCTGTTGCTCACGCTAGGAAAGGCCATCAGTGCACGAGAAGTTTGTGAGTGCTGCGAGTTGCTACTCGCTCAGTTTGCCCAGGAAGATTGGACGAATTTAAAGGGAGGGGCCCCGCAACACTTTTTGAGCATGGTCAGAAAACGCTGCCGATCAGTAGTAGAGGCTTCCGACAACACGCGAGCCAAATATTATGGCGCAGCATGTGGCCTGGAAGCCATAATAAATAATGAGCAGCTAAAAACTGCTTTCTCTTCTCTCGACAAATCACGCGATAGGCCCAGAACTCTCGCATAGTAAGCCCATCTATCAGACATTGGCCGATTTGAACATGGCGCGCTCACTCGTTGCAGAGATTTCCGCGAGAGGCCGCTACTTGTCCACGTGTGGGTGCATGATCACACTGAAAAAGCCACGCATTTGAAGAAAAAAAAAAGAAGTGTTCCAGGTCACGAAGCTGCGCGTGACATTTTTCTATGGCCCTACCATCCCTCCCTGCTTAGCTTCTAGCGCTTTCGTCGGGACGAGAGAAGAGAGAATGCAATTGCAGCATGTGACAAACCTGTGTAACTCCATTCACACTGGACGGATTCTTAAAATTCTTGCGGCATTGAATTCGTGAAGCAATAAGCTCTTCCAGTGATTCAAATTCATTCAATGGTTACTTGAAAAAGTGTTTCAGGGCGCCTTTAAGAAAGTAAGTGTACTGTTTCAAGCAGTCTGTAGCACTGCTTGAAAGCACTGCCCTTGACGGTGCAGTGCTTAGGCTGTTCAGAGCTGAACGTGGAACTTGCGCAGGTCCGGCACAAAAGAGCAGTATGGGGAGCAGGAACAGCTCCTCTTAGAAATTTACGACGTGGTACGAAGCCACGGCTGTTGGGTAAGCCCTGGTGCTGCGAGGAAGGGGGCGAGCGCCAATGCGTCAATTTCACAAGCACCACAGCCTGGGGACAGAGGCGAGCGCAGACTCTTGACGATGGTGTGTGACTGAGCTTTCGCTGCACTGCAAGTCAAAATCGAGGAGGGAATCATGGGTTTCGCTGACCAGGTGCAGTCCAACCTTTGTAAGTTTGCCGATTAGTGATTGGATGAATAATTGTTGCGGATTCAACTACGTTCCCAGAGCGTACAGCGGCACTTGAGGGGCGTGGTGTCATCTGCTACATACTGAAAAATACAATTAGTGTTGACAACGTTGAGCACATTTTCTTGTTTGAAATGAAACTTTTTGTGTCATTTTTCAAATTATTGCGAAGACTTGGAGTATTTGCTAACACAAAGGCGAGCCTACAATTGTGACTATACCTGCATTGGTATGTGGCCGTGGATTGGAGCGTTGTCGTAACATGCACAAGGGAGCATGCTTGCTCTTGGTTTACCCACATGACATGCTGCACATCCCTACTCAGTAACAAGGGGGCAGAATAAACGTAACATTCAGTTTTCGAGGGCAGTGTATGATGGTTCAAGAGCAGTGCATGATCTGCTACTGCAATACGCCACTTGTCTAATTTACGATCGCATTTAAATGCAATGGCAAATAAACAAGTGTTTATTTAAGCAGGTAGTAAATTATGACATTAATTTTTGTAATAGTAGAATAGAGATGTTATGCTATATCGAACCTTTTTCATAAACGGCAGCGCACGTTATTGAAAAGAAAAACAATGTTTATGCGAATGGTTCACTACGAAATGAAGCACGTTACTGGTAACCATGATTTCCCTGCTAACAGTTATTAATAGCTCACAAACAAAAAGGGAATGCTTTGCCTGATTAAGCACAATCATTAAAAAAACGCCGATGCTGCGTGGTAGGTACAGCACAGTCACAGGGAAATCTAGAAGAGCAGCCTTTCAGAGCCTTTTCAAAACACTCATTGGGTAGCTACTGCAAGCACACTTGCTTGGTGCCCACTAGACATTAATAATAAGCTTTCGGGTAGTAGGCCAGCATTCAGTATGCTATTTTTTGTCATTCTTCTGAGAAGCATGGTATCCGCTTAACACTTGCAAAGAATTTTGTGCCAATTGTCCATGCAGTGGATGATGACAATGAGGAATTAAGGCTGAAGTGGGTATGCGCCACAGTTAATAGGGAAACAAGAACAAAATTTTGTATTGGGTTGGAGCATTGGACGGCCCGCTTGTTATGCTATTCGCATTGTGCAACGACTGATTGTTCTTTCGCTGTGGTAAAGCGCTTTATAAGTCGTATTAACGCGATTACTTTCCCGACATCAAGCCTGCCTAAGGCAAGTTTGACAACTCACAAGCACCACTGTAGTTCAGTGGTAGAATACTGGGCTGGCACCCAGCGGACCTGGGTTCGAGCCCCACTGTGCCATTGGGGCTAGGTCATGCCTGCTTAAGGCAAGTTTGACAAGTTACAAGCACTGGCGTAACTCAGTGGTAGAATATTGGGCTGGTACCCACTGGACACTGGTTCAAGCCCTACTGTGTCATTGGTGCAAAGGTTTTTTCTAATTTTGCGCGATGTGTTTACGGACACCGGCGGCGGTGGACAATATGCAACTGCGCGGGACCCGAAAAGTGATCTCATAACAGCTTTCCCTGTAAAAATATATGAACATAGCGTATCGCTGGCTCATACACGACAGGTGCTGTGTGCAGGCAGCTAATATTATTCTTGAATGAGTTGGCTCATTGCCTTTGCAAGAGAGGTGTAGGAAGCATCTGCTGTAGCATATATATGTGTGGATTGCCGTCATTGGTTGCACAACTGTGTATATTTGATGTCTTTTTAAAATTAGCTTTAACACAGTTGCATAAGGAAAGCATGACGTAGTAGTTCTACTTTAGAACATTTCATCCTGTAATAACTTTGCATGTCACGAAGCATTCACGACACACTTAGATGGTAACTGGGGCAAGTACAATTTACCTGGACTGTTGCTATTTCATTTCGGGTAGTCAACTGTGTTTGACAGCACGAAAGTTGTCACTTCAGCTCTTGAGGGAGGGGTCATGTGAAGCCATGGGGGACTCCTCTCAATCTATTCCACACGCGGACGTCCCACAGGACCAGGGCACCTTGAGCTCTGCGCTAGCAGCAGCTGGCATCACGGGACAAGCGGTAGGCACTGGTGCTGCTGCAGGTGCACCAAGGGCACGACGGGGTAGGTTTCGCAAAACTGTGGTAGCAACAAATTCAAGTGACTATGCTGTGATATTGGAAGCGTCAAGAACAATCAAACTTAAAAAAAAAAAAGGAAAGGAAAAATTGGGGGAGCCTTAAGCTTTGCCTTTAAGATGTCAACGCGATAGCGAAATCCGGCCCCTAATGCGCCCTTCAAGGGCTAAGCTCATACTTATCAATATGTTTTGTTAAACACAAACATAAACACACACACACAAATGCGCACGCTAGTGCGACGTACCTACAATGATGCAGTGACTGTGCAGTGTAGCCACTTCCCTCTGCCATAAAGCCTCACAATGCCTCACAGATGGCAGCACTATTATCTAGCGTTTGCTGTTTGCTTGATCAACGCAACGCCTTCTCTACGCCTCTGGAAAGGCATGTTTTCCGCTAGATGGACATAGTTGTTCCTTTTTAGAGCTATTTGAAAGTTCCTGTGTGTTTTTTGCGGCAATGGCTGCACTATCCCAGCCTTTTTCGACGTAGTTCAGTTGGCCTACCAAATGCGCCTACAAATCGCCGAATGGGCTCGTTTTTGTCGTGACACCTGTCGAACGGAATGCGTTAAGAAGACTCCTTCTACTACACGGCATTTATGTAATGTTTTTTACCGAAGCATCTGCAAGTAACATGGTGGCTTTGTGGTTGGATATCTGCTTGCCACACAAACAACCCGGGCTCGATCCTCAATGGGACCAAGAATTTTGTTCTTATTTTAATTGCTTTTTTCTCAAGTTTTCACTCACAGACGATTTTTCGCTCACAGCCATTGGTGCGGACGCTGATGGCGGAATTTCTGCGACATGAGCTCTCTAACGCTATTGCGTTCAAATCTGAAAGATTTGCGCTTATGGTGACACGCAATAAGAGAATACTGTAGCAGGATACAACCTTAAATGTCTACCATGCTCTCTCCTCAAAGGGGAACGAACACAAGCCTGTCCAAATGGGCACTCTCTCTACAGAAACGTCATGGGTCAAGCGGCTGATCAACCAATTTTCGCAGAGCATGGTCAAGTGCATGCACAGGACTATTTCTTGAGTAGCAGGAACAACTGCCTACCACGCTTCCGTTATCTGGGTTGGGCCTCTGTGGACCTCTTAGTTTGTATCAGACTATTACTTAATGTGTGACTATCGCTGAATGAACAAATTTTGTAAAGGTGACCCAATGTAGCACCAGGGGTGCTTTGTAACGGTAGCTGATGAGGACCCGCAAGACGGAGAGGACTAGAGGACCGGAAATTCCTCGTAATCACTTGTAAGGCAAGGTTTAGGCCACAAGACACTTCTTTTATTCGTCCGGACTGAGCCCCACCACCCATGCCAGCGTGGTGATGATGAGTATGTACAAATCAGCAGATAGAGTACATGATTAGTGCTCCCAATATATATAGTATGTTACAAAAATTCACGCAAGCCTCGATACAACGTAGCCAGATATAACGAAATATTGGTTATAACGAAGTAAATGAAAAACAGTCTTGCAATAGATATAGTGTTAGTAATATGCCTTTATAACAAATTTTCGGTTACAATGAACTTATTTCTGTATAAGGTGCAACTTTGCTATAATTAGTTTTGAGTGTACTTCTTTTGCCCTTGCAGTCCTGATAACACGCCCTGGGAGCCTACAAAGACCACGCGCATTTGCAGTGACCATTTTGTTGGCAACTGCAAGAGCAATTTAAGCCATCATCCAGCATACTTACCGACCATCTTCCCGTCTGTGTACCAGAACGATTCTGCAGACCTTGTAAAGGCACTAAGGTGAGAAAGGCGTGAAAACAAACACTGATGTCGTTAAGCCCATGTTAGCAAAATGTAGAGTACGGTTGAAATTACCATGGGAAGTAATATCGGAAGCAGCAGTGTCTTACTTTAAAATATATCCTATTTTGTTTTCTTTATTTGTAACAATCAAGTGGCAAGAAGTAGCCGTCGCCAAGTAACGGTGACAAAAACTTCTTCATTTATTTTCTATTCGAATAAAAAGAAAAGAAAGAAACTCCCACATTTAAACACTTTCTCTAAGGAGAAATTTTTACTGAAGAATGAACTCTGCTAAAGCTGCTGCTTGGGCAAGTTGGTTCATGATTAAGATAGATTTACCAGTGCGAAAAGACGACACTCAAGATAGAACACATGTTGTGTGTGCTTTTAACTTTAGGTGCTTTGTCTTTCTGCAGTGGTGATCTGCTTTAATATTGAAAGGTGAAAGCTGGCGTTTCGAGACCAACTTATTCTTTCTAACCAGAGGGGCCACTTTGCTTTGTGTGCCTGTTATATATATATATATATATATATATATATATATATATATATATATATATATATATATATATATATATATATATATATATATATATATATATATATATACCAAAAACAAAAGTGATGCTGGGTCTGGGTAAGATTATCTGTAGGGAAGAAGATGCACGTACGAAGTGATTTTATTGACGTTCTGGCCGCGGGTCCGGCCTTCATCAGAAAGATCATCAGACTCTGATGAAGGCCGGACCCGCGGCCGAAACGTCTATAAAATCACTTTGTACGTGCGTCTTCTTCCCTATGAATATATATATATATATATATATATATATATATATATATATATATATATATATATATATATATATATATATATATATCGAACGCGTTATTCGAAGGTCGTGGGTTCGATTCCTGCTCACAGCTGGTAATTTTTTCATCCACTTTTCTTTCTTCTTTCTTTTTATTTACATTCCATTGGTTCTAATAACTTCCCCTGTACATTCCTTGGCATTACTGTCTGTTATATCTCATTAATATTGTGTTAAAACACGGAAATACGAGCCCTTAGGTATACACTTCTCTCCCTTATATATATATATATATATATATATATATATATATATATATATATATATATATATATATATATATATATATATATATATATATATATATATATATGAGAGAGAGACAGGAGACAGGTTTGCAAACACTGATGAAGACTGGTGGTCGAAACTGGGTTGGAAATAATAAAATTGAGACAACCGCTAAGTTGTGTCTCACCTACTCACCTCTTCCCAAGTACGTTCGGCCCATTGGAAATACGTCTTTGGTATATATATATATATATATATATATATGTGTGTGCAGGCATGGTGGCGTCCTCCTTGAGAAAAGTAATTACGAATTATTTCGACGATTGCGGCCGAAGTGACCTACTCAAGACTGGCCACAGGTGCACCTCCAGTTCTCACGGAAGTTTCCTACACATCCACCTACCACACCAATTATCGGACATCCAAAACTAACAAACAAGGTCTCTTCGCCGCCATTTCAACCCATATGACAAAACAGCTGCATTCGTCACTTTTTGCAGAGCCTCGACATTTGGCATTGAAAATGAGCTGGCCACCATACCGCACTCATACCATGCCATGCTCATACCATGCACCATACCATGCTCATTTTTCACATCGGAACAAGCAAATTGGAGCTGTATGAACTATACGAGTCTCTACACCATCTGTACTGCCTGGTGAATAACAGTCTCCAAACAGGCCAAGAACTTCAAAAACTCATTATTTCATCTGTGTTGTCGCGATACTCATACCAGTGCTTGGAACTTGCCAACAAATATTCGTTCACCGCTTCAGCAGGGCGCTTGTCACTTCAATGAAACAATCAAGGCTTACTGCTAGAGATTGAGCAAAATGTCTTACATTGACTAATAATTCCACCACATATCACTAAGACGTTTTCTGGCTGGAGATATCGACTTCAACTAAGCTTCCTGAGAGGTGCTTTGAATGCCGAAGCCTTGAAGTGCACGCTCTGTTACGGAGACCTCAAAGCTGCCACTGGTTCGTCGTCTCCTAGGTCCGATCACAAAACTCTTTATGAAATAAACCCTACCAGTCAGCGACACACTCCTTTCGTCGCCCTACACACTACTGACATCGCGGCTGAGTTTCCCGACGATCGGCCAAACCGTTACGCCAGGGTTTGGGCAGCCAGCTTGCCATCATCGGCAGCAGCACTACACCACTCCAAAAGGTAAATGAAGCCTGTCGAACAGCAGAGCCGTGTCCCTCTAATTTGGACCCACTATAATTTGTATCCACTATACATGAACTGGCAACATGTTCTCGCATTGTTCCTGCACTGAATGCTCACAAGGAGCTTGGTGCCTGGATCTTTCCTGCAATGACAAAGGCCTGTAGAACATAACTACGTATGTAAACAGTGTACAGTGATGCCATCCCAGCGCCCACAAGATTTATCACCGAACTGTAAGTCCAGTTCTTCCCTTCTCGGTTACAGTGCCACTCTTTTTGAAGAAATAAAACTCACTGACGAACGAGTCAGACATGAGGTGCGTAAATTCACGTTGCAAGTGTACCCAAACATTAGAATAGCTGCCAATGACACCATCCCTCGCACTAGCCACTATGAACCATAATGAATGCGTTCAAGTAGCATGACAAAATGTCCTCCTTGAAGCATCGCTCAACAGAAATTGTGATGAGTCATGGTGAAAAGCGGGTGAAGAAACTGGCCACCATGACCAACACCATTTTCTGCAATAATAACCGCTTATCAAATGAGGAAATTGTCCTATTAATACAGTTCAAACAGACTAAATAACAAGACACTACAAAGACTAAAATTTATCCTAAACTTGAAAGAAACTGTGTTCCTAACCCCTCGTTGCCAGAGGAAGAGGTGACACCCATGAGGTGACTAACAGTGCGAACCAGAACCCACCCATCAACACTCACCGTGATGCTACGATTGTAAACCTATTAGACACGAGCTTGTCACCTGATGAAGTGAAACTATTATCTAAAAAACGAAAATTCTGCCCAAGCAGAGAATGTTTTGGTGAATTTTACTTGCTCGGAGACCTCGACAACTTCGGTAGACACTCGAGGTAGCATGAATTCTTCTTAGACAAGCCTTCTAGCACTCAAAGGATTTCCTGCAATTGAACAAGCGATTGTACTCGAAACAGTCATAGAGAAAAATGTCTGTACTTATACGTCAACCTAGTACAGAAAGATATAATACAGGAGTACCATAGGCAGAGATGGAAGTAGGAGAACTTGACAAAATCTAAGAAGGCAAAGTGCGAAAAGCCTGTCTTCTATCCCTGTCTTCTATATATATATATAGCCCCGCCGCGGTGGTCTAGTGGCTAAGGTACTCGGCTGCTGACCCGCAGGGCGCGGGTTCGAATCCTGGCTGCGGCGGCTGCATTTCCGATGGAGGCGGAAATGTTGTAGGCCCGTGTGCTCAGATTTGGGTGCACGTTAAAGAACCCCAGGTGGTCTAAATTTCCGGAGCCCTCCACTACGGCGTCTCTCATAATCATATAGTGGTTTTAGGACGTTAAACCCCACATATCAATCAATCAAATATATATATATATATATATATATATATATATATATATATATATATATATATGCACACACACGGAAACACACAGCTGATTTCTTTCTTCACTCTGTTGGGGCTTGGGGCTGCTGCATTCGGCAAACACTAATGAAATAAACACTTGGTACTGCTCTTGTTGAATGGTTGATGTTCAGGTGTTTCACGTGCATGTCACTGCTGGTTGCTGTAGCTCTACTACTTTGGGGGGGGGGGGGGGGATGTCCTTAACTACACTTTTTTTCCTAATGACGAAAATGTCTGTCAAATGTCCACGTTTAAGTCCACTGTCCACTGTCATATGAGCAGCACAGTTTGTGCAATGTGGCTTAGGTTAGTTGGCATACAGTGCTGCTATTTTTTTGTGCAGGCGACGGAAACATTTGGTGGATCAACATAGTTGTGGGCTGTCAGACAATAAAAAAGCTGCAACAGAGTGCATATGGACAGACTGTAGCAACACAGGTCTTGAAAGGCGACAGTGTCGAGACATTGCGCACCTGTACACTCCCCCCCGGGCTCTTCCAGAACTGGCAACAGAGCCAATTGACCTGGAACCTTCAAGTGGTGCGCTGATGCAAGTTCTTGCTCTAGCAACATGTGATGTTGTAAGTACACACGTTTAATCTCAAACAACATTGGGCATGGTGAGTGTCGTGGTCCCGTAGCGATGTCTACTAACGGCAAGTGTTGCGACCCTCTCCTACACGTAGCATGCTTGCCTCAACCTTGTGCGAGGAAAAGGGAATCCTTGAGTTGAAGCGACGTGGCTGGTCATTTAAAGGGACCCTGAAATGGTTTTTGTAGTTTTGTCAGCGTTTAGGCTGGAGCATCATCAAACTATTCACACAAAAGGTTTAACACCACGCCTTGTACCAATGCCACCTCGAACGATTGTATCATACCATCCTTCTCACCCCGGCCTTGCCTCCTCAACTCATGAGACGCACAGGCATCACTGGTGATCGCAGGGCTCTCATGAGCGATTTGAGCTTCGCCCATTCATGAGCTCTGAGATAGCACGGCGACAGGTTGCGTGCAATCTCAGAGACTATAGCCCAGTACGCCCGGCAGCATGCATACTGTCTGGCAACAAACACTAAGATTGCAGCGTGGTTGATATCGGCTCAGACAGGTGCTGCCAGCCTACCAGCTGATCTTACTTATGCGCATTCCACACCCAATCAGATCAGCAGCATATATGATGTTGCACTTCCAGTGCTTGTTGTACTGTGAACGGGCAGTTGAAAATGCGTTCTCCTGAGCTGCAGTGATCTGCAGCTATGCACAGCCTTAAAGCGTTGCAATAAATTACACAGCTTACTCAGGGAGCTTAATTCAATCTGTAAATGAACCTTAGTACTTGGTCTACTAGTGCATTGTGTGTGTACAATATCGTCAAAACCGTTTCAGGGTTCCTGTAAAGTTTTCTGGCAGAGGCGCTTTGGCCCGGCTTTCGTTTAGAGAGAATCCCTGGTCTGACACACCCTGGGCAAATCGGTTGTTGCGTTTTCCTAGTGCGCTTTTCAATCTTTTTTTCTTCTTGGCTTGTCATATCATTCCTGGCTTGTCATACCTTCTGTTACTTACTCATTTTCGTAAGCTACTTGGGTTGTGTATGCCCTCCATGGCTATGTCACATAAATTTATAGTGGAATTGTATATTTGCGTTAGTGCTACAGCAGTCCTGCTAAAATGCTAGACCAAACTACTGTTAGAACACCCATTTTGCCCCAATCTACTTCGTCACCCTCATAACAGGGTGTGCACTGACGAATACTCACATGATTTAGCTGACCTAAGAAAACCTATCAGGAATTCCAAGTTGCCCACAGGGAGAAGTCCGAGAAAACCGGCTTGGTCGATTTCTTTGTTCATTACAGCTAAATCTTTGAGAAATGTCATAGGGTTCGGCTATAAAACAACAAAAAATGGCTGGTGGAGACCTACTTGTTGAGATCCTTATTGAAAACGGCCTCACAACATCGACGGATGTTGCTATGCATAAAGCGGAGTTGTATTAGAAGCAGACCTCTTTTAGTTTATAGGTGAACTCCTGAAAGGGTGCAGAGATCAAAGTGCCACTAATATGAAAATGCAGTATCATCAGACATGGCTACTTAGAACTCCCCACCAAGTGTTTGGTGCTAGCTTTTGCATCTATCATCCGACTTTATATGTTCAAAACAGTAAACATATAATTAACTACTGGCCATACATTCCTAACCCCAGGCAATGCTTTTAATGTTTGAGGTTCAGCCACAGCTCGCATAGCTGCCGTAGCCAACTTGGTGCAAATTGGGTGTTGAAGGCCTCCTCTAGAAAAACTGTGTTGGCACACCCCGCCTTGCTGTGCCAGCACAGTTGTCACCAGGGTGGGCACAGTCAAGGCCACCTGATTTTCTCTGAACTTCGGCCAAAATGTTGGCTCCTACTACCACTGGCATCCAGAGGTGGTCCCATTGACCTGGCTGGTCGAGTGCGAAGGCCTCACCTTCTCAGGTGAGACTTTCGTGAGAAGCTTCTCTCCCGCAAAAGTGCAAACCTAGCGCTCGGCAAGAGCTGCTGGACGCTATATTTATCCTAGTAATCATTTCTGACAGTTAATCACTCTGTCTTCTTAACGATGATTATTTATTCCATGTTGTATGCCTAAGTGTTTTATAGCAGAGCCTCTTATCAGAGGCATTTGTCTACTGCACTCACCTTCCTGCCTTTGTACTCGAAGGCCTGGTTGTGGTGTTAGTGCTGATTATATATTCTTCCGTTTTCCTTCTCTGATCAGGTGTATATAGTTCACCTCAATATACCTTGATCATAATTTTAATGAATAATCTACACTTTGAGTGCTTGAACTATAGTGATTGATCTTGAGGTTTTCTACAGCCACTTTTCACTTAAAAACTTGCGATCCATTGGTTTAGCAACAACTTATTGACAAGTTGACATAGTTTTCTGACCACACCTTGTTGTTGCACCAGAAAAAATTGTCGTGATCCAACAGCTTCATGAAACCCCTTTAAAAATAAACTGGCTACAGGCCAGTGTTAGCTTTTGTGTCTAATGATGACATGCAACTACATTTTAGTTGTCTTGTTCGATGAAATGTCTTTTTTTTACACGAAAATGTTTAGAGGACCCCTGGCACCAAGTTTAGAAACACTAGATGGTTGTGTTGTTTGATAGTCCTGTATGCTGGGCCACGTCTGACCGATTATTAATGATGAGTGTTGCCTATAAGATATTTTAATTTGACTTTAAAGTAAGAGTAAGGGCTCCTTCGAGTATTCAGGTCCAAAGGACATTTACTGTGGTTATCTCTGCAAGGCCACCTTGTTACCTTGCAGAGGCCATGCAAGTATTATCGGCCTCAGGGCGCATTCACAATACCTCCACTGGCACCCGGCAAGGACTAGTATTTGTCACCGCTCTTGCTATGGTGTTAGCTGCTCTCTAAGTGGTTTTGGCTGCTCATGCCAGGAGTTTTTTTTTTTTTTTTCTGAGTGAGACATGCTCAAGGCAGCTACATAGTTCCATTCTTCATCACCCACGAGTCCACCTATGTGAAAACTGTGAAAATGGCGCGTTCAGCGTCACAGAAGCTTGAGAAGCTTGAGTGGAGGTTGTCCGAGGCACTGCTCTGCTGTGGGGCGGTAGCTTCTTATGGTATTTAGACGGGAGCTTTGTACTCGCGCAAAATGCTTTTGAATTACCGGTGCTAGCATTTATTGCACGGTGCATTAGAGTGTTCATGATTCAATTTTGGTATTACCAGATGCAAAGCTTCAAGCTACAGTGAAAAAAGTCACAAACAAAACTTTTGCTGTCAGGTGTCATTTAATGCCAGGGTTCGCCAAGTCTTCGCTGTCATTGTACCACCACGTATGTGATGTCTGCAAAATGCTCATGAACAGTTAAAGAAAAACCTGAAAAAAACTTACATTGCCACCAATGTTTTTGAGATGAAAAAAGTGCCGCAAATGCTCTTGGGTTGAACTTGAATGTAGCAATGACTTCTTATAGCATTGGCAAGAAAAGCTTTCAAGTACTTAAAAATAGTCCTCAAATTTGCCTTGCATAGCTTCACAGGCACCAATAAGTTCTGAAGCTGGGTATACTTGGCTGGACCACAACATGTGAGCAAGACAGCTGTTTTTTTCTCATCCGGCACGTTGTTGTCAGTAAAGTACTGGACAGTTTTCTTTCAGTATTCTTTTCAGCTCGACTGTGTGTCGAACAGCTCTAGCTTGCTGACAGCAAAAATTCCTAAGTACAGGAGTGCAGCCCAGAGCAGTAGTCGCACTAAAGTGAACAGCTTCCATGCAGCTCAACGCGTCTTCCTCATTGCCATTGTGATATTAAGAGTGTCCCCGCGTGTAACGGAAAACCAGAACGGGCGACCAACCAACACAGGCTCCGATGAGTAACTCCTTATATTTCAGGGCACGCACTCTGTGAGCTGCGCCTTTGAAACATGCGGCGTTATGACTTGAGGTGGCGTCATTTGCAGTGTTCCCCGACCAAATGCATAGTGAAACATCGCACCGTAATGGTTAAATCATGATCTGCGGTTTCAGTCGTAGAGATGGAGATAGAGCTGTCAGCTTGGTTGTGTTTACGGCAAATGATGCTATGGCTTCGAAACACCAATGAACGTTGTGCAAGCTCTAATGCATCAGCATACAATAAGCAATAAATTACGTATAATCCTGGAAAGACATGATATACTTTCACACTATATCAATTGTTGCCATGGAGGAATCGACCATGTTTTTCGCTTCATGTTTCAGTCGTGCCAGACAGAATGCTCGCCTGTGGGTGAACTCTCCATCCTGCTGTCTGCTACGGACGGGGCCACAGCATCAACCCAAGTTACTCATGCCCAATTGCTTGACAAGGTTTGTGGCTGCTGTAAAATTTTCTATTTGCAAGTTGCAATAGGCACATCTGTTCTTCATCGTGGTGGTATCTCGGTACAGATGTTAGTTGCTTTTTTAAAAAAAATACTTGTGAAGTTTTGCTTGCCAAGAGCGTCACGTGATTTTAAGGCACACTGTAATTTGGAACTCTGAAATAATTTTGATTACCTGGGAATATTCAACGAGTACCTATATTTAAGTGATCGGATGTTTTCATATTTCACCCCAATAAAATGCAGCATGCTGCAATTAGCATCAGTAATGGAACTGAAGTCTTCATGCTTAGCAGCAATGATTCGCAGTTGTTGCAACGCCAGCGGTTGCCGAAGTGGGCGCAGAACAGCACGTGCATACGTCTTCTCTCTCTGTTTGTTCCCTCTCTGTCCCCTTTCCCCTCTTTCATGATATAAGTTTCAAGCGATCAATAAACGCGGATTTCTGCCTGGTGACACAGACTAGATCATGTCTCTGGCAACGTCTCTGCCGCCAATGCAACAGTGGCGACGAGGATGAAATACCTTTCTTCAAATGTTTTTTAAAAAACCTCACAATACTGTCTTTGTGCCAAAATATGCTTTTATCTAACTATTAGTAGTTTCTAGTGAAAACTAGAAACTGCAAATGGTTTCTACAAAGAGGTTTATTATGCCTTTACATATCTGAAAAGTGGGCCATTAAACTGTTTCAGTGTAAAACAGGCCCTGGAAGTTGCTGGCTGTAGATTCTACCCACTGTCATGAATCTGCATTTTGCCATGGCAAGTGTCTCATCCCGTTCAGCAAGGAGCGGAGCTGTCATCTGCCGCCAAAGTTTCAGCTGCTGCGAATGGTTCAATTTCAATTCCAAGCTGAAGAAAGCTAAAGTATCTTGATTTCATGCATAGAGACACTTGCACAGTTAGCTGCTTGTTATGTCGCGACAAGCCAGTACGCTAGTGTTGCTCATCTCTTTGGTCGCTTTGTATGTTTATAAAAATATTCAATTACAATTTAAGTGCTCCACAGTATGCATTATAATTTCACCAGCTTGTTCCTGATGGCACAAGGATTAACCAACTAACACAGGTTATTATCGAAAATGGGGTGTAATGGCCCCTTTAATTCAAGTAAATTTTACGTGTCTGTATACCCCCACGACGATACAGATCACTCGCCTTCCAGCGAAGAGAATGGCTTCAAATTCTTTGTCACTGCTGTTTACTCCTCAACAGGCGGTGTTTTGGCTTATTGCCTGAAACATGCATAAAATGGGGAAGCTTGGCCAGCCACTAAGCCAGCGAAGTCAGAAAGGTGCAGCATTTTCTGTTACTTGTAGTTAGGGTGATTTTTCACAATTTAGCAAAGCTCAATGCAGTGAAGGAACAAATGTAATGGGAGCACACAAGCAATCAAGTTTTTGATCGTCTTTGTAGTTGTAAAGGGGTTGTGTGTTAAAGGCCAACTCTGGCAATTTCGGACCATGTCAGGGTAGTGGTGTTTTTATGTTCCTGAGACACTCTTGTCACGAGCTTGATAAATGAAATGCTCAGCAAAGCGAAAATAATTTTTGATAAGCAAAAAGGCACAATACCGAAACCGGAACTCGAGCTAGCACACTGTCTACATATGACATACTATTTGGTAAAAATCGGAGGTCGTATACTGATCCCGCCAGCGTGCAGTATCAAAACTGAAAGCCCAGACAAGCAGGCTCTCAGAACAGTGGTGGGCGCACTGAGCATTAGCTGGCAGGTCCGAGGTTAACAGTGTCTTGGAGGTATTAAGGATCGGTGATCCTGACGTATATGACTCTGGCGAGAAATGACCAGAAGACACACGTGTCATTTTGCTCGGCAACCAGTTGTTCAATCTGATCGCACTGCTCCACTTCTCACAGAGAGCACCGTCTTTCGAAAAGCGGTGATAGCGAACTCTCTGCGTCTTGTGTGAGTGGTTTGAAGAGCCCACAGTGCAACACTAACTGTTGTAAAAACTGGAATATAGGTCAGACCGGAATATAGGTCGACCCCTCCAACATTGAATCTCTGAAAAATAAGTTTTTAAAAATTTCAAAGCATCGCGGCTCACCCTTACCTTGATAAATACGAGACACAACTAACTGCACTGTGGTGACGTTTCTTTGTATTTCAATACAAATATTACAAGGTTAAATGCCAGAAGGCCACAAAGTTCTGTCACTCAGACTCATTCGAACTTGAGTCCGACAACGTCTGTTTCTCGCTAGTTTTGTCCCAGAGTGCATCGTCCTCTGTTCCATCCAATGCGTTGCTGTTGGAGCATTTGCGAAAACACTTGCGCACTATCTTTTCTGGGAGAGATTTTCAAGCTCACAATACCCAGCCACAAACACTCGCAAGCGGTTCAGGATCGTAGATGGCCAGCAGGGGTGTCTCGGGATTGTCGCCCAGCATGCACTCATTGTAGAGCTCGCGCACGTGATCTTTGAAGGGTTTATTAAGCACTACATTCAGTGGCTGGAGGATTGATGTAATTCTCCCAGGGATCACGACAATGTGCGTCTTGCGATCAGACAGAGCTCCCTTTACATCAGTCGTCAGGTGGCCGTGAATCGAGTTGAGCACCAACATGCCCGATCGCTGAAAAAGCCCACCGGGTCGCCGATCCCTCACGAGAAGGATCCACTCGAGCATGAGGGACTCATTCATGAACCCTGTTTCGTTCGCTCTCATGATAACATCTCGGGGAAAGTCTTCTTTTCGTAGCTCTTTTCTTTTGAAAATGATATAAGGAGGCAGCTTCTTTCCATCAGCTGTGCACGCGAGCATCACTGTAAATTGCGAATGCTTGTCGCCTGTTGTCAAGAGCTTCACTTGCTTGGATCCTTCAGCAGTCACAGTTCCGTTTGAAGGCATATTGAACCTGATCAGAGTTTCGTCAGCGTTGCCCACGTGTCCCATCATTTAGCAATGCTGTCGACGAAGCTTGATGACGAAGTGATGATATTCGACGAGCTTGTTGTCGAAATCTTCAGGCAGCTTTTGCCACACGGAAGTACGCCACCTCAGCGCAAAGCCTGCAAATGGGGAGATGCTACTCGTAGACACTTTTTTTTAATATTCACCCTAGAGAAATGAAACTTGAGCTGTTTATGGAACTTTTTATGCTGATTTCAAATATACAATTAGTTTTCTTTTAGCTCTGCCTCGGACAATGGGAGCGGAGGAGCCATAGTATCCAACGCCTAGCCGGAGCACAATGTGATCAAGATCTAGGCCCTGGAACTATAGGACTTTCTTAGCCATAGTCTTCAGATAGGGAATACACGCGCCCTGCTTGGCCGGTGACTTCCCGCACGCCGGATGCGTAAATAAATGTTGTTTTTCTCTCTCTCTGTAACATTGATTGATTTGTGGGGTTTAACGTCCCAAAACCACCATTTGATTATGAGAGACGCCGTAGTGGAGGGCTCCGGAAATTTTGACCACCTGGGGTTCTTTAACGTGCACCCAAATCTGAGTACACGGGCCTACAAAATTTCCGCCTCCATCGGAAATGCAGCTCTCTCTGTAACATGACAATGTGAAAACCTTCACCCTTTTGCCCCCTCTTTTCATCTCTAAGCTTCTATAGTATTTACCATTTAAAGTTCATAATGTTTCAAATAAAGTTTAGAATGCAAATAACTATTAGGAAGCACATACAAAATATGTAATACGTGCGAAAAATAATATACGAAAAAAGTCAATATTTCACATACCCTAGTAAAGGTTTACATACAATTTTTATTATATAATAAAATATTGAAATTTAAACTAGATAATTGTATTTGTCATACTTTCAAAAAAATTTGGGCAAAATTTAATGCAGATCGAAGCACTCAAAGTGCCCGAAAAAGTGGAAAAAATGGAAAAAATGGCAAAATTTGTGTTTTGAGAAAAACGAGTTTTAAAGTTAGAATTGAGTTTTTATTTATGAAAGATATAAATGTGATGACATTTGAACACCAAAAAGAACAATCCTTCTTGTAGTGGCCACTACGACTAAATACGTCAGCACCATTAGTTTGTCTCTCTCAGCTTTTTGGAGCCGACTTCTCACGCACGTTTCGCTCACACACAGGGCCATGAAATCCTTGCCAAACTTCCGCTCCATCTCGCAGAGCCTTGTGCCAACTGCTAGCTAGAAAGAAGTTCGACAGGGCTGTGAAACCCAAACCAAGTCCAGTGTCATGCCATTTTGCAGCCATGTTTGTGCCACATACCGTTGTACATAATGGCAATGTCGTCCCTGCTAAGTTCTCTCACTGCGAGCTCTTTCGACCTCGCAAGATCGGCGCTGACGTCATCCATTGCCGCATCACGAAATTTCCGGCTGACGGGTGTGAATGACTTTTAATGCATTGGTTTTTGTAAGCCAACAACTGTCACAAATCGGACCAGCTGCTCGTAGCCTATACCTACAGAGTGCGCCGTACAACGGCTTTCACTTGCAAGCGAGCTAGCGTCTCTCGGACTGATGTGCGGTCGCACAGCCATCGCGCTCCACTGCGAATGCCGATTCTGACCGGTCAATGGCCTCGAATCTTCCTGAGCTACGCGGACCCTCTTCCGCAAAGTTCACCTGAACATTTCGACACCTGGTTCACCAAGGTGGGCTCGCTTTTTATCATTTTAGAGGACTTTTCGCTGCACGGCGAGCTAAGCCTAGGCGAGGTTAGGCGAGCCTCCTCGCCTACGGCGCTCGCACGCCAGCTGCGAGATGCCGCAGCAGATTGCCATGGAAGGGGACGACCTCACCCCTGAGGAATTACAAGGAAACGGATGGTTTTCCATTCTAAAAAGACGGCCAGAATCGCGCGCGCAGTCACACGCAGCCCGCCAGTCGGGAACGCAACGAGGCGCGACAGCTACGCCTAACGCTACCCTACGACGCGTCGCAGCTGCGAGCCGGCTACCGGCGATGCCACGTAGTCACAATCGAGTCATCGTGCGACCGGGAGGTGGCCTCAACGTGCAAGCC